GAAAGAGACGCGACGCGAGCGACAGACAGGGATGCGAGAGAGGTCCAGAAAACGCGAGGAGGGACTACTACACGCTACGCGTCGGGTCGCGGAGGTGAGGCAACGAAATAAACGAAATCCCGTGCAACGCGATGGAACGGGCACAGGAAAACGGAGAACGCTGCGAGTGGGACGCCAGCACCGAGGCCCCCCCAACAACTTCTGCCACGGGATTTTTTCCTTTCTCCGATATCCGACAAATCCCGTACGAACACGGCACACGTACCCGGCGCGAGTACGTCGATCGATTTAATCGACGGCAGAGAGAGGAGTAGATGGACGGTAACCGCTGCTCCAAGCATCCGAGATCCACCGCGAGCTCGATCATTACCGTCATCGCGATCTATGGTTAACGTCCGGGCAAGAAGAAACGGCGGACAACGTTCGAGTAACGGTACGGAGGAAGCGCGACTGTAATTCGAACGGCGGTACCGATTCGATAATTAACGTATCGAGAATGGTGGACGCGGCGGCGGCGGCGGCGGCGGCGGCGGCGACGGTGGTGTGGTGCCGGTGGTGGTGATGGTGGTGGTGGTGGTAGTAATGGCAGTAGCAATAGCGGCACACTGTCCGACGAATCGAATCGATCGGATTCGAGGAACGGCAGCGCGGAAGAAAACGCAGGGGAAAGGTATTGATTGCCGGCGTACGAAAAGTCGCGACGCCCCAATCCGCTTCTCGCTGCGATCGCTCCGATTTCCGGTCAGGCAACTCCATCCGTGGACTTTCTCGCTAAAAAGCTTCGCCGTGTACCACACAACGACTTCTCTGTCCGGGAAAAGAATCGACGGCGGGTGCAGCGGAGCGTGCGATCGCCACCGGGAGTAGTGGCACGGGATTCGAGGAAAACCCGGTATTCCTGAAACGCTGCTCCCGATAATTTCCCCATGACCCCGAGCGACACCGTTCCGCCCGATCGATATGGTGTCATCCTCTGACCCCCGAACGACACGAATACCGTCCTCGGAAGCGCAACTTTGCGTCGCGTTTAAACCTCTCCGCGAAACGCGAAGAATCCGCGAAGAATTCGTCCAAGAGCCCCGTCGGCGGAATGACGGAACCGACGGAAAGATCCGTGGATCTCGAAAAGTTGCTCGCTGTCGAGAGGGGACCGGGCTCATCCGCCGTTCGCCAGAGGGACGAGGTCCGTGGACGATCGGGCCCGGCCGAGTTAAATATAAACGCGGTTAAAAGACGAATACGATCGCGGGCTAGATAACGCGACGTCGACTTTAATTAGTTAATAGCACCGGGAACGAGGAGATCCAGAGAGTTATCGCGACGAGTCCGGCAGAGTGGCTGTTCTCCGCCGTGAAATCGCTGGAAAGTAAATACTCGGATTAAGATACGGTTGGACCGGTGTCGAAGTCGCGTGTATCGCGGCTATGTCCTCTTCTGTGTCGACGACCACGACGACGACCACGACGAAGAAGAAGAAGACGGGGTTCGGGAAAAAGGAGAACAACGTCAGAAGGATCCTCGAATCGCCGGTGAAAAAAGGCTAACCACCGCCTGCCGAGAGAGGAGAAGGGCTCGATCGCGAACGTGCAAGTAGCGCTAATTAAAGTAAGTGGCCGAACGGGCCTCTCCTTCCTCGAGAACGCGTTATATATATATATACATATATAAAATACGAACGCCGGCTGGTTCGGCTCCTTTGAAAAAAATAGCGTTAGAAGGGGTCTTGTGCGAGCATGAACGGAAACGAGAGAGAGCCGGGTGGCGGAGGAACGAGCCAGCCGTAGGAACATCCGTTTGCTCGAACGTGCGAGCGCGATGCTAAAACCGAGATTGCGAGAGAAGGAGAGAGGAAGAGAGAGTTGAATGGTCTCGATGCTTGTTCAAGGTCTGAAACTTCGAGAAATAACGCCCGTGGAAGTTCGTTCGACTGTTTCGTAGTACGCGTTCGTGCGTTTTGCTCGATGAACCACCACCATGCCGCCGCAACTCCGAGATGCATCCGATCATCCTACGCCTCTGCGTTTCCAGCCTAGCCGCGCGCGTATTTGCGTATCCTCTGCGTACATTCGCCTAACGCGATCGATCAATCGCGGTTTTCTCATCCGACATTCGAACAACCACGACGACGAACCGCGAGACGAAGGAGCGTCGAGGGTTGATCGTCGCGAGACGCGTTTAGAGACGCTGGCCAACGACCCCGACGCAGCGAGAGGCGCTTTTTAAAATAGACAGGTCCTCGAGGTTCCGACCTTGAACTTGCCACGCACTTTCGAGGCTCTTGGTACGAAAGGCTGATTCGCGAGATTCGTGCTTGGGAACCGATGGACCGATTTTGGAGCAAGATTTAACAGCTTCCTATACTTTACCCACTTGCATCGTGTTAAGGGGTTATTACGCAAAGGAATAGCAATCAATGGAAACTGTGGAAAAACTGTATAGATGTTTACCGACCCTTTCGCTACGGTGGGCATCGCTGCGAAGACGGAAACATTGCAGTCTTTAGCATTCGGGTCCAAGTCTTTCAAAGAAAAAGAAAAATAAAGCAAAACTCGGTCATCGTAATAGAGCTTGCGATTCTTTGCGAACAGAGCTAAAAGCGGAACGGTAGCACTTGTCTTAATCTTTTACTCGATTTTCGTGACCGGTGACTATAGTCACCCGTCGTGTGACGTCTCGTGGTCGGTGATTATAGTCATCCGCGGTAGCGAAAGGGTTAAACGGACGAACGGTTAGAACTGGCCTGTTTAGGGCCACGCAGGTCACAGGACGTCTTCTGAAAACGGGAGACAAAAGACAAGCCGCTGACAAAGGACGAAACGCAGGGGAAGGGATCGCCCCCACATGGCTAGGACGTAGAGTTTAGTATTTAGTTTTTACTATTATACAACGCATCATAAACGCTATTGCGTCGTTTAGGCTTCTTCGCACTCGATCGAGACAAGTGCTATCGCGCTGTTCGGGGTTTTTGGACCGTGTTCTTCCAAAAGCCTCTGGGACAAACGTTGAAGATATGGTAAGGTATCTGACAGTATGAAACCTCGATCGCGTCATCGTTACTGCAACGATTTCGTTTCTTATCCGGTTGCTTCCGTATCCTGCTCTAACCGTACGTCGACAGATCGGACTCGGGGTAGTTCGGAGGCGGACATTCAAAAGCGCTTAATCGGATTAACAAACGCGCCGTTTCGAATTTGAAATTCGTTATTCGTTTCGTTCCTCCCGAAAAGAAATTATATCGCATTTGGATGCGCGAATACCGACTGAATCCGAACCGGTTTACTCCTATTAATTTTCCCGATTAACGGACACTCCGGGATACGAAACGATCTCCCGTTTGAAGAAATCACAGTCGCTATTTCGAGTCTGCGAAAATCCGTGATTCGAATTCGCGTTAAATGGGAAGAGATACGCGACGACTTCGAGAAACGATTACATCCGCTTCCAGGGTTAAAGAATAACTACGAGTCCCCCGAAAAGCTACCCCCGTTGAAAGGAGAAAGTACGAAATACTCCATCGACGGCTTTCTCCTGCGCGTACTCCTAATCTCTCGGACCCAAAGAGATTCCGGAAGAAAGCGAATCGGCCACGAAGCCCGAAATCCGTCGACCAGTGCCACGTTGGAATTCCAGCCTGACGCAATTAACGTCCGTAGCCGTGCATCGATCAGCCAGGACGCGCGTGTCAATTAAGCCCGTCTAATCGGGGGGGTACCGACGGTATCGTACCCGCGGTGTCGTACGCGTGTAACCGTAGAGGAAGCCGCAGGGGGGCGAGGGGGTGTACGCGCGTTGCCGTGGCGCTACGGCGAGAAATAGAAACGGGCGGAAAAAGCGAGCCCGCGGGAGGGTGGCGCGCGCGGGGGTGTCGGGGGTGGAAAAAAGAGAAAACGGGGGAGAAGAAAAATTGGCTTACCGCTGAAGAGCGCAGTCGGATCGAGCAACGGATTGGCCTGGTCCGCCTGGAGTTTCTCGGAGGCGGAGGTGGCGCCTGGAGTCGCCGTGGCCGCCGCTTCGCCTCCGCCACCTCCACCGCCCCCGCCACCTCCGCCCGATGCGGAGTTCTCCTTCTCCATGCCAGTCCCCTGAAAACGAGCATCAGCGTTTCGTTAGAATCGTTAACTTCGTACACCGCCTTGCGGACCGTATCTTTCCGGGTAGACGGTTGCGGATGGAAAGGGGTGCGTACGGCTGGTGCCGGGGTGAAGAACGTTTTCGCAGGGGAAATTGACGGGTGGAGAGAGAGAAAGAGAAAGAGAGAGAAAGAGAGAGGAGGGGAGAAGAGGCAGCGATGCGTTTCAGGAAAATCTTGGGACGCGGGGAGGATTGCCGGTTTAAGGGAGAGTCGCGCGCGGGTCTGTGCTCGAGGGGTTAGTGGATCTAGTCGGGATTATACGGGGTGTCGAAAATGTAGGCATCGATACGATTTCACGCGTGTCACCGAGACACGGTTTGCTGTCCGCGGAAATGTTTGACGCGTAAAATAAGAAATTGTCCACGAGATTAAACGTTTACGGTTGTGCCCCGATAGCAGTCGCGGCTGGACGACACGTCTACGGAGGGAGGTATGCGGCAGGTCCGAGACGAACCCGCGTCCGCTATCGAGGCATTGCTATAGTGGCGCGAGACGACGCGTTCGGGACAAGGCGAAGGGAATTTCGAAGGCGGTATTCGGGTTACGCGTGTACACGGAGTGATCGATGAATGGAAGACGTCGATAATAGTAAGACTCGCGGTAACGGAACGATACTACGCTGTTTGTTTTCCTTTCATTGTTTCCAAAGCAGCGTTAGAGTGCTCGCGCGGAGGGTGTTCGCGCGGGCCTTGAACTTTGCGCGTCGGGACTGTAAAAGATCAAAGAACTATGCCAACGACTGTGCAGGGAAAAATGAACGTTCTCGCGTAAATATTTGCGGAGAAAGAAATAGACGAAAACGACGGCGAGTACGTTTAAGAGGAAGCGACGTTGTGTTTTTTCGAGGAAAACGCCGAGCTAATTCGTTGAAACGATATTCGTATAATCGCGCGTACGCGCGCGTGTACGGGAAAAAGTACGACGGCGAGGTATAGTCGACGATGGTTGGAAAAAGAAAAGCGCAGTGTCTGCGCAACGTCTGGATTCCAGTTAATTATGTTAATACGCCGACGCGGCGTCTCGAAATCCGCGAAACGCTCCTCTCTCTCCTTCCCGCCTACCCCCACCGCCGCGACCGCGGCCGTTACGAGGTGGAAAGGGGAAGGGGAAGGTAAAAATCCAACGTTAATATTTCAGTCACGCGCATACGTAAGCACGTCTGTGTGTCTCGCATGTTCATTCGATGACTGTTTACCAGTCGAAGAAAGGCTTCCTCGAGCGCTTTAAATAAAGGTCGTTCTCCCCTCCACCATTTCCCCTCCAGCGCTTCAATCAGCTGACTGCCACACTCCCCTCCCTCGCCGCCCAGCTGTTGTATAAATATACATCGTTACAACGTTGAGTCAGGTTAGGCTGGTGCTAGGCTAGACACCGCACAGCCACTGGCGCCGTTATTATCATACACTGTTGCCTTACGTATAGTTGACGCGTATCGCGCTCGACATCGCCAACGAACGCGTGTATTCTCGCTTCTTGGCTCGCGCGCGCGCGCGCACACACACGCGTGCGCGTGACCAGCAAACTCGTTCGTTTTCCGTCGCGATCGGGAAATCGGACGTTGGGGAAAAAAGGAAAGAGACGGAACGGAACGGAGCGGGGTGGAGAAAAAAGGTTAGTCGGAAAGTTACGCAGCGTTATCCGAGCATCGGAGCGTAAATTTCGTCGGTTTCGAGCGGGGAAACGAGCCCGCCGAGCATCGATTAAAACGACCGGCGAGTTTACGACGCCGGAGAAGCCTTTTATTCCTCTGTTTGGAGGACGAAGCCGCATGGAAGCCACCTCGCGATCGTCGGAAATTATCTTGGACCAGCGCGCGTTCCGCGTTCCGTGGATCGATACAGCGCACTGTGCCCTTTAACGAGTCCAAGATCGACTCGCGAGCGCGTCATCGAGCATCGATAAACCCCGTGGCGCAGCGGCCAACTAAGACCAGGCACTCGAATTCTTCCGGTTACGGAACATCCGCCGTTCGATTAATTAACCCAATTTCCAACGCCGTGTACCTACGAAACGCGTTTTCCGATCGTTTTCTACGCCCAGTCGGTCGGACGGGTTGCGACACACGCGGTATATCCCATTACCCGGCATCGTATCGCGAGCAAATGTCACTGCTCCGTTACCAACCGCGTGCGCGCGCTCGCGCGTGCGGCCACCGCTAGGGACCCCAAACGTCGAAAACGGTGATCGTCCGTGGAACGACGGATGGTCGAGTGGAAGCGGCCATACTCGATCGTACGTGTCCAACCGGGCACGATGATACTTTCCCGAATACCAGCGAACCGCGACGTGACGATCCCTCGGACCTCGGAGTTGCTAAAAATTCGCCGCTCACAAGCCGCACAATATTCCCCGGATACTTGTTCCATGCGGGGAATACCGAAGTGGCCGTGCACGAGCGTCGAATTCCCGGTATAGTCGGGGAATATCGAGAAACGAGCCTCTCCGACGCGGTGCTGCTGCCCCGCCGCTCTCACCCCCGCTCGCCCCCCGCCGTCCCGGTTTTCAGCCGCGCGAGCACTTCGAGGCGCTCGTAAATTGGCGAGAGAGGGACCGAGGGAGAGCGGAGACGGAGAGGGCGAGAGACAGAGAGGGAGACGGAGATAGAGGCGGCCAGAGGGAGAGAAAGAACGAGGAGAAGACGACGAATAAGAAGGAAGTCTTCGGTCAGCGAGAGAGAATCGAAGGACGGCCGGGAGGAGAGAGAGACGACGGAGGGAAGCCGAAGAGAAGAGAGGAGAGCCAGAGGCAACTACGACCATCGATTTCTCGACCGGTGTTACGCTCCTTCGACCGGGAAAAACTTGCCGCTCCACGATCCGCTATGGACTGTACGCGGCAACGAGAAAAATGCCGGCCGAGGAGCTTATTATTAAGGTGTATGCTACGACGATCAGGACGACGCTGTGACATTTCTGTATGCGCGCTAGACACTCCGCTCCTCCGCCGGTCCAGTCCCGCCGACGTGTATTTTCGCTCGAGAGCGCGTACGGCTAACCCTCCGACAGCATGCCGCTTTTGTAATCCAACGGACTCTTACCGAAACGGAAAATACCGGTATGTAATACCGGTAAATATCAGTAGTACTCTCATAACCCTTATAAAAACCCGCGTACTGCAATACCGGTACGACGTCGCGTCGCTGCGTAAAAATATCGGTATATTTACCCTCGGTATACCGGTAAATCTTTTCCCTCTTTCTACTCCAGCCAAGAATTTTCTACGAAATTACGTTGGAATAGAAAGAAACGAAAATGGATTATAACGCATCGATAAATAATAAGCGCTAGGTTTATGAAGCGCGCCATTTTGTCGCATTTCGAATTTCACGAGGAAAATTATAAATTTTGTATAAACGTATATCTCGAAATTTTGTCTATATATTAATAACGCATAATTGCGTTACTTTTTAAATTGTTTTGCTTTTCAAAAGACCAGTCACAAATCGCGCAGGGGGGTACGTACGACTTCTAGAAGGATGAGAACCATCGAGAGCGTTCCACGATGCCCCCCTGCGAAGGCAAAGACGATTGATCGCTGAGATACGAAAAGCGAGCTTCCGATTCCCAGACCAGTCAATCCTCCTAAACGCTTCACAAACAAATTTCCAATTGCAGATTACAATTCGTCGAAAAATAAGTTTAAGCCATTTGATAAAATTTCGAAGCTCGATATTAATTAATATATCAAATTTAAAATAAGGTAACAGTGTGCGAGGTATCGAAATTGAATAATTCTACGTGTTAATTATTATACGATATCTTATTTACTGCTCAAAAGATATCATCAGCCTTATGGAAGAAAATTTTTCAACTCGTACCCCTCTTTAGCCAAAAAATCGTCGAGCGCAAAGGGTTAAAATCGTGTACAAAAATCAATCTCAGACATAAAGTACGAATGAATGATTTACAAACACCTAGCTTGCGAGAAAGAGCGTTTATATAAACGGTAGATAAGAATTGGGGGTTTAGGAGAGCTGCATCGCGTACCCTCTTCACTCTCGAGTCCTTCAGTCGCTCTAGGGAAACTCTCCAAGTTGGATATACCATCCTGGCGTGATAAAAGCACCGAAAAGAGAATCCTACACATCGCAGTTATTCTCACGATTACAAACCCGTGATCCCGATATAATTCTCGAATTTACGTTCACCTCGTTCTGCCAATTTTAACATTAATTCTCGCGAACGGGGGGGCAGACGCGATCCTTCGCCGCGGAATAAGCCAGGAATCCGCGTGGCGTGTTTTCGAAAGCGCGAAGTGGACCGATGACACAATCGTGCAAGGCATAAATCACGAAACGCGTTAACCTACATTCGGCTCCTTCCAAAACTCCTACCACCGGCCGCGAAATCCTTAAACCGCGTAAAAATACCACGAGTAGGTGGCGCTGGTGCGAATCCCGTGCGAATCCAAGGACGGATTAAACGTCGAGCTAATATCTTTGTTCGAGCGAGCCAGGGGTGGCAAGAAAAATGGCGGTCCGGCCAGGAACAATAACATGGAAATAGATAGAGGGAACGCGCGTCTCGTATATCTCGACGAGCACGCGGCTACAAGCCAGGGAGGAGGCCCTTTTCTTTCTCGTTCGCGAGAAAAGTTTATCGGTTATTGCCGAGCATAGTGACCCAGACACCGCTGCGAAACTTTCCACACCCCCCCCCCCCC